ACACACACACACACACACACACACACACACACACACACACACACACAATGCATCGTGGTACAAAAGGAGCAGGAGGATAGATGGTCCAAATGAATGGCAGAGGCAGTCTTAATGGACTCCTAATGGACTTAATGTTAGGTTTAAGTGACATTTTAGCAATCACACTGTATATACGCAGTGAATACTTCATTCTGTCAAAACACACCGGTAACACAAAGTGAACTGGCTACTTTATAACATCGTACATGAAATATCAAATAGATCTCTCTTACTGCGTTGTTTCCATTTCCATTTAGATGTAAGCCGCTGTCAGAGAGTGGCGAGGACACTCTGCTGTGATCGGTGGACGGCCCGGGAGAACCTGAGAAACAAAAGACATGTTCTTTACAAACGGGCTTCTGCAGAATCCCTGCAAAACATTTAGTCCATCTTCATGTTTATTTTATCATCTAATATCTTCTGAAGCAAAGACAACAAGACAAGAGTTGCACCTAAGCCTCAAACACCATGGCCCCGTTACTGACTTTATTCTGCCGCCCTGCGTTTAAGCGGTGCATCTCACAGGCAGAATCCCAAAGAGACAAACGCTGCTCTTTGATACGATATTAGCTTGGCATTAGATCTGCTTCCTAATTCGGTCGCGGCGTGTGGCAGACTGCTCCTGGCCTCTCCTGCTTGTCATTTGTGCCAGAGTGAAACAAGGGGCGGCTTAGAGACAATACGTTTTGAACCTTTTTGTTCTCGCGGCAACAAAACACGACTTACCAGCCAAAACACCCTGCAGCAAAAAAAGCTGAGCGTGTCTGCACAGACGCCTTCTATGAATGTTAACTTACCCAGAAGAGATGAGGGCCGGACTTCTCGCTATAGCTCTCAGTTTGAATTTGGGTGAGAGAGTTGGTGGTTTATGAAGTGAGCTATAAATATTCATGCATGTCTATTAGTATTAATCATTTTTCTCCATCTGTGTGCTCCTCAGGATTTGGTAAATTGTGCAAAATGATCAGTACGCTTGCTGGTGGCGACTGAAACGATTTGTAATGCATCACCTTCATTCATTTTTAGCTTACAGCTAATTCATGACACAAAACTTTTAGGTGGTTTAGCAGTCTGTATCCAACACACAACTGTGAACAGACGACGCCCCAAATGTTAAGTACCCATGAGCTACATGATCCATTGAACAATTAAAGTGTAAAAATGACAAGTTGCAGGAGTTGTGTGCCAGACTAGGCATATTGTGTTGGACAGCCAGGCTAGCTGCTTCCCCCATTTTCAGGCTTCATAGTGAGCCATATTTCTATATTTCATTCATATTTAGCATACAGAGTCTCAGAACGAAAATGAATTGGTGAATTTCAAACTCTTACTGTAAAAATCTAGTATATAAATTTTGAAGATTCCCCACAATCAAAAGATCTACTTACTAGATTTTTCTGAAGCTTTCAACTGCATCCGACAGTCTTCCTCACCAGATGGAGTTTACTTAGTTGTCATAGAGATGAATGAGTAAACTCCATCCGTTGAGGAAAACACCAAAATGTGGTTGAAAGCCGTGTTGTTTCTGCCAAAAGGGGATTTCACATACTTCTGAGCACCAGTTACAATTGAGTAATATTTGAATTGACTTTAAATCAGATGACAGTTGGTGGGTTGCTGGCCACAGTCGCTCAAAAAACGAACTCAGACGTCAAAGCAGAGACAAAGCAGTCCCATCTAACTTTGAAACAGTGCTTCATAAAATACCCAAAATTTAAATTTTACTGTTTGTGTTCAGAGCCGCTTCAAGTCCTCATTTTACCGCTCGCCATCACTGTCTCCCCTCTCTCAGCTGCGTACCTGATTTCTCACCTTTTACCGGCTCCACACGGATGATTTTTAGAATCTAACTCTGTTTCTAACTCTTCAAGCTGGTGGAAGTAAGTACAGGAGCAGGGGATTGGAGCTCTGGGTGTTCCTGACATTACTGCTCGCCATCAGGCCACTGAGCATGACAATTTACTACTTTGAAATAAATGCTCATCTATTGAACGGCTTTAAAGCGTGGAGGTGCGCTAAAAGACAATCTCCCGTAAACGTGGCCCGATTCCTTTATCGCCAAAAGAAATGCTCGATGCAATGGAGTTTATTGTGGCCGCAAAACCACAGGACTCTTACCTAGAGGCAGTTTTAGAAATGATGGAACTTCTCGCAGGTAGCGAACGGTGATGGTGACCTCATCTCCTGCGGTGCGCAAGAGGTGAACCTGACGAGAGAGGGAGAGACGGATTGAGATTGAGATAGATAGCAAGTGGGGGGGAGGAGAGAGAGAACGATTGTGAGAATGCGGCGAGATAAGAACTTAATCTTGTATAAATGAAATCAGCCACATTCATGTCGCGACGTACACATCCTGAGCAAACTAAATATAACAGGAGATGAGGGGAGAACATGTAATCATAAGTTAAAGCCTGACGGGAGTGGCTTCACTTAAAAATCGTCAAAAGGCGGAACGTGAAGGCCGGCCTTTCGGTCAGCAAAGTGACAGCTGACTTCAAAAAGTACTTACGCTCCAAATGTGAGATTATTTGGTGTCTAAGTGATAGAAAATGTGTCCTCAAAGATGTCCAAGTCCAAGTGGCATTCAAATAAGGTTAGGTTTAGAGGATTAACATAATGAATCTGTCTATCATCCGTGCATCTTGGAAGAGAGAGAAAATAAAAAAGTGCAAATAAGACACTCGACTGTCACATAGCCAACGTGCAAGGTCACCGCTTCTTACCCTAAACGCACATCTGCCATCAGACCCCTGACTATCCTGTCAAAGATTGTGCGGTAGCCCTTACTTGAGCCCAAGCATCTGTCAGTGCTGCAAGTGGGACAGCCTGCCATTAAAAAGCTCTGGATAGTCTTCTGAAAGCTCATTATGTGTTTTGACACTCTGGAGGTGAATAAAGTGAACAGCTGTTTGGGGCTGCATGAGGAGACAGTGACAAGAGACATGGGAAGAGTGTGTGTGTGTGTGTGTGTATATGTGTGTGTGTGTGTGTGTATATGTGTGTGTGTGTGTGTGTGGCAGATGGGGGATGGTGGCACAGAATAAAGGAAATGTTTAACAAAGACACAAGCTAAAGTTTGAAAGAGAAATTGAGCATGAAAAAAAAAATAGTGCCATGTATATGCAGTGCGTTGGCTTTTTGTCAACAGTTAATCACAAATGTACTCACAACTTCCTCATGTGTGCAGGGCTCTACATTTATGCCATTGACCTAAAGAAAACCAACAGAGAGAGTGGGAAAGCATATAAGTAACTCTACAGAAAGTGTGTAATTAAGCAACTCTATGCTCATTTACTGCAGAGACAGGGCCAGAGGGGTGGAATATGATTGGCAACACCTGGTGCAATCCCCTCCCCCTTCCGTTCCACACCTGCAGCAAACTGCATAATATTTCTCCGGTGCCCAGTTCTGGATGCAGGCTCAAGGACCTCCCGTGGTTGCGGTGACTTACACTTTCTCAAAACACATTACCGTATACTGCCACCGACTGCCTGCTGACTTTTCGCTCACTACTCTTCAGCAAGTACCAGTACACACAGTGCTACATATACGTCTTGGCCGTTGCTCTGTGGCTCACTTTCATTGTATTGGACGGTGTGTTCGGCTAACCGCTAACAGATAACGGAACTAGCAGCAAACACTTTTGTACTTCGCTGCAACTCGGCCCCTGCTTGGCAGGTAGACAGCTTGGTGAGTTTACTTTAGTTAGTGGCAAGATTGTATGAAGTGTATTCTACGACGACTTCGAGCCGACTGCTTGCAATGTTGCTGCTTCTTTTTTCTTTTAGCTTGAATGAAGTGTGTTTTACGATGCTCTACAGGTCATTAGTTGCGTACACCACCTATTGTTTGTTGGCTCACTTTTATTGTTTTGTACTCGACTAGAGAACATTTCTGGTTTCTGTCATGAAAATAGTGTAACAAGGCTGCCAATGGGCAAAATGCTACCTCAGTCCTGGGCAAGTGTTTTTACTATCTTGGACTTGCAGTACTGTCTGTCTAAAACAAATGAAATAAACATATCCTAATGTTGGTTTGTTTTTTTGGCTGTACTGAAACCGGGATATGAACCGAACCAAGTGTTCTGTAAAACATTAAAGCCTACTGAAAGGGCCTATTGGGTGCAGGTCCACACAAACAGACTATAAAAGAGACGCAAAAAACACAAACGAACCACAAAAGCACACAAAAAACACACCAAACCTAAAGACCACATCACAAACGCACACAAAATAACGACAAAGAGGCAAATCACTCGCAAAGAGACACAAAACGACCACAACACAAAGAGACAAAACAACTTCCCCACAGGGGTCTTTACACATCTGTGTTCAAGGCCCCTTTGCCATATAGCAGCTAAACATTGATGTCATTTCATATTAGAATAGAAAGTGCATCTTCCCTCCCATTCTATTCTTACCCTCCCCTGATTTGCTACCTCCCTCTCCATGGCTTATGGTAGGCAAATTAGATGCAATATTCTGCAGTGTGACAATTCAAAGTCATTGCAAATAAATATGACACATTAATCCAAAAGGTGGAAGCAATAACAATTCATAATATAATTCCTAATAACTTCCAGTATGAGTATCAATATTGCTTGGCTGTCCGATTAATCTACTGGGTTATCGAGATAAACGGCACGCCACATAAACCTGCCAGACAGTTTCAAATGAACTTTTTAAAAGATTAAATGAACGGCATTACTAAATACGACACAGATGATTACAGACCTTATGACTAATCTACCACAGAACTAAAGAAGAATATATTTGACCACAAAATGATGAGCACAGACATTAAAAGACTCGTTTGATTAATGTCATGCAGCTTAAACTTGAAGAGTTAAAAATGAAGAAAAGAAATAGTCTCTCCCCATTTTGTAAATGAAATTACACTGTCAAAACAGAAGAGGGTTGAAATTGAGATGCAACAAGTTGTCACTCTCGGCAGTGACCCGGATCAACCTCGAAGAAAATTAAGTCACGAACCGATGTACCAACCTGCAACACAGCGTCCCCGACGAATAGCTTCCCCGTCTGATCGGCTGCAGGCGTCAAGTGTCAGAGGTTAATGAAAACATTAGAAAATAATTGCTCATTTCATACGTGGTAATGTGGTGGAAATAGCAAGCAGTGTCTCTGTCCGACTAATCTCCGGCAACGTCAGCTCAGAGAAAGAACACGGGAAAGCATGAAATTTGAAACTAATCAGGATATAAACTCATTTGCAGCGGCACGGGAGGAAAACAATGAGAGCCCTGTTGTGAAAAGATTTGTAAAGCTTTGTGAAAGCGGCTCTTACCGCCCACGGGGATATGAAGACATGATTTTCTCGTATCCCAAAAAAGGTATTAAGAGGGATGTGGGCAAAAGGACAAATTACATGCAAGCGATTCACTCACATGAGGCTGTGATATTGCATCCCAACAGGATAGCGAGAGGTCATCAGTTCTTACAATTTAACTGATGAACATGATATAAGCCTTTTCTTCTCCGTCTAGCTAAGAGCACGAGTACATTCCAATCTGGCGACTGTGTACTCCCGTTCAGTGTTTCTTTTCACACTTTTTATTACTTTTCTTTTCACTGTTACCTACTTGAAAACAGCTCATCTTCTAGTGTCTACCAGTGGGAGTATAACAGTCCAACCAAAAAAATAAATGATTTTAAAGAAATACAGTGCGTCAACATATTTTTTGGGGGAAAATGGTTATTTGCTTTCTTTCTGAGAGAAAGAAGAGGGTCGATGATCTCATGTCATGGAGCTGGTGCCGGGACATGTTCAGCCTATCTCAGCACAAAGACTTGAAAAGGTGACTTATGCTTGTTTGTTTAATGACTGGCCATTGGCCACTAGTCATCAAACACACATGCTTTGGAGCCATGCCCAATATCTGCAAAACACATTCAGAACATTTCCATTTATTGGAATGATGCAGCCATCAAAAACATGGTTTGTTGCGAATAATTCTATAAGTAATAAGTCACTCCTCACATATGAGACAATATGATTGGAATAAGTTGCTTTTCGAAGCTTAAAACCCACTTAAGGGAAATTAAAGAGGAATGTGAAGTTATGCGCTGGAACTTCTTGACGAACAACAGCTGGGCGCAGTGACTGTGTGCAGCTTCCGGAAGTCAATGAGGTTACCAGGTTTGGTACTCTCGTATACCAACCAGTACAAATCACAGATTGATGTTCATGTGCGGATTGAACAAAGACACGTTGATGAACTGAGGCAGTGTTGGGAGGTAGGCATATTTTTTTTTAGAACCAATCAAATTGTTTCCCCACGTTTCTGGTCTCTATGCTAAGCTAGGCTAGGGCAAAATGGAGGATGCTTTGTAAGGGAGTAGTAGGCTCTTCTGCTTTAATTTTTACTGCTCTCTTCTCTCACAAATGTTCCCAGCTTTTAGGACCCCTCGACCAAAATTGAATGTTTCTCTTTGATTTCCCCAAATTCAACCAATTTCTTCACTCTTTGTTTTTCTCTTTGACTTTCGAATATTTCCTCGCCCAATACTTCTAAAGGTTGATGCTGTCAAAATGCTCAAAATTCCATTGTGAGCTTAAATGTCACCTGTACAATATCCAGCGTCTCTTTCTAATGTCATTAACATTTTCATAATCGAGTTGATCAATGACATTTAACACTGCATTGAAAACCAGTCCCAGATCCACATTGAAGTAGAGAAATTAACTTTCTTACCTACTTGATCTTTGAAAATCTTTGAAATAACCACTGGCACGTTGTGCTCTGCACCGCCCTGAAAAGCAGGAGGGAATAAATGAGTTTCAGTGATGAAATTTGCTGCTAAAACGGCTTTCTCATTTTCACTTTAGTCTCTCCATAATCACAAAATATTTGCTTACTTTAATGCTTAAGCCCAGACCGCCAGTAGCCTGTCTTCGCAGTACAACAGTTCTGTGCTTTAGAAAGTGGGAGTTTCTTATTGGCAATAGGATATTGTGAACATTGAAACATCATGCTGTAGTTATGAGTCATGAATTGCAAAGTCTGGAGCCCTCGGGCGCACTTACATTTACTGGGGATTCACTTTCACTCGTGCAAACCACGTCCAGCTTCTGTATGGTTAATACCTCTTTGGTCAATTTCAGGCAGACATCATAGGTATTGTTGGTCTCCTCATTGTACAGCAAAGCAATTCCAGATTTTGTCTGTTGGAATTGAGAAGAGGAATTGACATTTTGCCAAGCAGAGCAATTATGTACACAATGAACATTTTAATCCTCTTTTCTCAATGAGTCACTCGTGTTCCCCATTCCACTGGTCTACTTTTGCGGTAATTGGTTTTGCCTGACATTGGGAAAGTGTGAACTTTGGTGTAATAGGAAAAAAAAAAAAAAAAAGGATTGCACAGTGAACTCTGTATCTTTAAGTAATACAATTTTTTTTTTTTTTTTTTAAAAAGGGGGGGACATGCAAAAGTTCAGGGAAATAGCACTCGGACACCGAGTACAGAAATGACAAACAGCTGACTCAGAAAAAAGAAGAAGGCACGGATGTCACACTTGACACTGATTATCGTTGGGTAGGTGAAGAGCCATTCAAATACATTACAGTGCAGTTTTAGTTCACCCTTGAATTCCATGCACTATTCTGACCTTTCACTGCTCTGTCACAATCTGCAAACACCTTACTAACACCTTACCGACTAAGTATCCCGACATTGAGGTGACATAACATGATCCAAATGTATTCTTCTGAATTGAATTGGCCATCTTTATTCTGGAGGTTCCAGAATTCAAATCAAGGCTCTGTAGAAAGGTCTCTAAATGTTTTGAGTCCACCACTGACCTGAATAAGGTGTAGCTCTTTATAGGTTTACATGACAAGGTTAACTACTACGGCCCGGAGGCATGAATGTCTCATTTTGTTACATGCCCGTTGCCTCCTCTTCTCTCACCTGTGGACGTGACTAAGACACAAGGAGGAGGCGGCAAGGAAAAGATTCAAGGAGATGCCTAAGCATACTGAAAAGCACCCAATGACATTTTGTTCTGCTCTCCAAATAGCATATTTTTACTTTCAGTACATTCTGCAGCTGGCCATATAAAGTACTGCCGCCTGCATTCAAGTAGGACACACTACTTCGTCATAACATTGCACCTTGAATTTTGACCCTCTTGCTCATACATCTGCTGCGCAAAGGATTGGGGGTCAGCATAGCCAAGCACCCTAGCTTGCATACTGCAAAAACGCGACAGTAGAACATCCTGCATTTGACAAAGTATTGGGACATACTCAATCTTTTTCTTCCGGCATAATAAATAGCCCCGGTATGGGTATTGAAACAAACAGTACATCATTTTGAAAATGGCTGAACACAGCGGTGAGATGCTCAATTCCCTCATGTTTTGAAAACCCTATTATTTCCCAGAGCTTCATCAAAATCCTGCCACCGGAGTCAATACGATTGATGGATGGTGCGACATGTAAACAAATGAAAAGGACAACAGCTCATGTTTGATGGAAAAAAAACAAAAAACAATTGCCATTTGAACTGAAGTGACTTGACTGCGAGTCACAGAAAAGGCTTAATATGCAAGGGGAGTGCAAATATGACGGAGTCCAATACTCCCCCACAAGCAATAACCTCAACCAGGAAATGAAATTAGCTACCTGTAAACGTTGGTCACCACGGCCGATTTTAAAAGCAATTCCTTTGTTAAAAACAGTCTATAAGTAACATAATATTTTCCATATTTCTGTCTGGTACAACTGACTCCGTTTACAATTCAAATGCGTTCGAGGGGGATTTCAGAAGTGGCAGAAACCAAAACAAAAAAACTCAACAGTTACAGTTACTACAGACTGGAATCAGCATGTTTTTGACAGTCTCACCAGAAATGAAGCGTCACATAGATGTGATTTATTGCAGTGTTTTTCTCTTGTATTTCGGTTATTGTGCCCGCCCCCTCTTTCATTTCATACTGGGGCAGGTTTTACTCTCCAGGTTTCCCCTTCGGCTGAAGAATCATTAAACGCCTCCTAAGACACCGTTGATGAAAGAGAAGTTGCACTACATAGAGCGCCTTACCACTTTAACCCTTTCATCAATGCTTTACATTTACGTATCATATGTAGAAGTGAACAGTGACGGTTATATTTGGACATGCATCCTCAGAGGCAGTGTTGGGCCTTTGACATTCTTTTTACATCATTGATTATTTGTAAAGAAATAAACGTGGGGACAGGAAACACTAGTTACCTCACAAGAAGAGAGGTTATTCTCACAACAATTGGAAACATGGTCGTAAAGTTCTTTATTAAAAATGCATTTCCGTGTACTTTGAACAATTTTTTGATTGCCTGGATTGTCCTGATCTAAGTGTTAAACTGAAACACTTTTAAGACAACCCTGACGGTAATAAGACTGATGAGCAGAAGGAGCACAAAAAACACAAATGTGAGTGGTGTGTTCTTCTGCAGGCAGATTTGTGTAGAATAGCAGAAGATTGACCTTTTCGTAGATGATGGAGCTGGTGAAAAATGTGACAATCCGTACGTGAGCGAGGTCAACCAATTCTCTTTTTAAGAGACTTTGGAATGAAGGTCAAGCTCTTCTCCTGCTGCTGGGCAGCACAGTAGATACAGTGCATCCGGAAAGTATTCACAGCGCTTCACTTTTTCCACATTTTGTTATGTTACAGCCTTATTCCAAAATGGATTAAATTCATTATTTTCCTCAACATTCTATACACAACAACCCATAATGACAAAGTGAAAACTGTTTTTTGCAAATTTTTGCAAATCTATTAAAAATAAAGAACGAAAACATAACATGTACATACAGTAAGTATTCACAGCCTTTGCCATGACACTCAAAATTTAGCTCAGGTGCATCCTGTTTCCACTGATCATCCTTGAGATGTTTCTACAACTTGATTGGAGTCCACTTGTGCTAAATTCAGTTGATTGGACATGATTTAGAAAGGCACACACCTGTCTATATAAGGTACCACAGTTGACAGTGCATATCGGAGCATAAACCAAGCCATGAAGTCTAAGGAATTATCTGTAGACCTCCGAGACAGAATTGTATCGAGGCACAGATCTGGCGAAGGGTACAGAAAAATTTCTGCAGCATTGAAAGTCCCAATGAGCACAGTGGCCTCCATCATCCGGAAATGGAAGAAGTTTGGAACCACCAGGACTCTTCCTAGAGTTGGCCGCCCAGCCTGACTGAGCGATCGGGGGAGAAGGGCCTTAGTCAGGGAGGTGACCAGGAACCCGATGGTCACTCTGACAGAGCTCCAGTGTTGTTCTATGAAGAGAGGAGAACCTTCCAGAAGGACAACCATCTCTGCAGCACTCCACAAATCAGGCCTGTTTGGTAGAGTGGCCAGACGGAAGCCACTCCTCAGTAAAAGCACATGACAGCCCGCCTGGAGTTTGCAAAAAGGCACCTGAAGGACTCTCAGACCATGAGAAACAAAATTCTCTGGTCTGATGAAACAAAGATTGAACTCTTTGGCCTGAATGGCAAGCGTCATGTCTGGAGGAAACCAGGCACTGCATATCACCTGGCCAATACCATCCCTACAGTGAAGCATGGTGGTGGCAGCATCATGCTGTGGGGATGTTTTTCAGCGGGAGGAACTGGGAGACTAGTCAGGATTGAGGGAAAGATGAATGCAGCAATGTACAGAGACATCCTCGATGAAAACATGCTCCAGAGCGCTCTGGACCTCAGACTGGGGCGACGGTTCATCTTCCAACAGGACAACGACCCGAAGCACACAGCCAAGATAACAAAGGAGTGGCTTCGGGACAACTCTGTGAATGTCCTTGAGTGGCCCAGCCAGAGCCCTGACTTGAACCCGATTGAACATCTCTGGAGAGATCTGAAAATGGCTGTGCACCGATGCTCCCCATCCAACCTGATGGAACTTGAGAGGTTCTGCAAAGAAGAATGGGAGAAACTGCCCAGAAATAGGTGTGCCAAGCTTGTGGGATCATACCCAAGAAGACTTGAGGCTGTAATTGCTGCCAAAGGTGCTTCAACAAAGTATTGAGCAAAGGCTGTGAATACTTTTGTACATGTTATGTTTTCGTTCTTTATTTTTAATAGATTTGCAAAAATTTGCAAAAAACAGTTTTCACTTTGTCATTATGGGTTGTTGTGTGTAGAATGTTGAGGAAAATAATGAATTTAATACATTTTGGAATAAGGCTGTAACATAACAAAATGTGGAAAAAGTGAAGCGCTGTGAATACTTTCCGGATGCACTGTACATCCCGGGGATGTGATAAACAAGCCGAAAAGTCTGACAGCACACGAAGGCAGCACGATTAATCTGGTTACGTTATTCTTTGTCACTGCTCAACCTCTCAGCTACAAAAGAGAGTTTCCCGTCATCATTTCTCGTCTTCGATATTGTCAACAGTAAATCACGTGACATTCATATACCATTAACTTTACATTCTGCTGTTTAAGAGCTTGACCGCACCAGGAGCTAAAGATCTTCTGTACACATTTCATTTGGCTATTGACAGTTGAAACAATAGCTACAAAGACTGTCAAATTGACTTTATCAAATATAATACTTAGTCCCAACTGGGATTTGAACACCTATGTTACTCTGTGTTGTGATTTAAATCACAACATAATATAACGTATATGAGGACCACTCATTGCTGCCTAGTTTTGACTGTCATTTGCCATCAGCACGAATGGACCCAGAGAGCGACAGCTAATGCCGACTACACTCAGCAGGTGTTGAGACAACATCAACGGAAACGGACTTCCAGTTGGAATCAAAATGATCGTGATCGCATGAACATGACCTACGAAGCGCCTGAGAGGCAGTCTGTGGGATTCCTTCATAACTTGACTTTTTGAAAATGTAACCGTGCCAACATCCGTAGGCTATAGAGCCTGACATGCTCCGGTACAGTGCAAAGGGGTTTGACAGTTTACCACCGGCTCTCAGAAAAGCTGCCATGGAAAACGCCCACCTGCAGGATTGAAACATGCACAATAGTCTTTTGTGTCATACCTTATGCTTCCTTATCTTCATCCGATAGCATTGCACAAAGACATCTTTCACCTTTGCTGGGCACCCAATTAAACCAGTGCACCGGTGTTTGCTTCGGTGTGAATGGTTGCATTTGATGGACAGGTAGAGCTTTAATGGGATCCCCTATTAAAAAA